GGGGGGCATGCTCTACAAGATGCAACAGGATTCATTCCGATTGGTCAAGCCATCTCGGCGTAATCGGTGAACGGACATTTAAAAAAATATATATATACATATATATATACATGTCGAATTGAGTAACCTCCTCCTTTTCGAAGTCGATTAAAAACAATGAAGGCGAATATACCAATAACGATGAAGAGATAATCTCAACGTTAATGAGAACTTATTTCCCCGGGTTTTATGAAACGAACACTAACCCAACACAAGACGAGGCCAGCACCAACTTGACGAATCCTCAACAATAAGCCGACTGGGCCAGGCCCAACAAAATCATAAACTCCAAAAAGCTAAAATGGGCATTAAGCTCCTTCCAACCTTACGAAGCTCCAGGCCCCGATGAGATCTACCTAAATACCCTGAAGATGATGGCCACGAACGAAGTAGCAAGCAGTTATCTACTACAGATAATCAGAGCAAGCCTAGCTCTAGGCATCATACCGAATAGCTGGCAAGGAACCAAAGTGGTATTCCTGCCCAAACCAGGCAAGAATGATTACATATCTTACACACAAAAGCGTTCAGACCGATTTGCCTAATGTCAACTACTCTCAAACTCACCGAAAGACTAGTTGACAGACACATCAAGAGTATCAACCTAACGATAAAACCATTACACAAAGCTCAAAATGCCTTCAGAGCAGGCCACTCAGTAGAAGTGGCCCTCCACAAGATCGTAAACTACATGGAAACAGCCATTAAAGACAAAGAAATAGTAATGGCATGTTTCATTGACATAGAGGGTGCCTTCAACTGCACTCCCACAGAAGTGATGACCCAAGCATTACACGAATTCAGTGTCGAAACATGTTTGATAAAATGGATCGACCATATGCTATCGAATCGCAGATTGAGTAGCAGCAGAGGCGTAATAATGATTCAAGGTACCGTCCAAAGAGGCTGCCCACAAGGCGGCATCTTATCACCATTACTATGGTGCATGGCAGTAGAGAGCCTCTTGTACGCACTTGAAGATAACGACGTCAAAGTAATGGCGTATGCGGACGATGTGGTCTTTATGGGCAGAGGGAAGTACATGACGGAAATCAGATCCAAACTACAGGATGCACTAATAGCATCAGAAGGCTAGTGCGATTCTGTAGGATTATCCGTCAGTCCAGACAAGATGGAAACCATGATGGTGACTAGAAAAATAAAAAGACCCCCCCCCCCCCTAGGCGTGCTAGAATTCGCCAACAAGAAACTGAAAACTCACCAGGAAAGTGAAATACCTGGGAGTATTCATAAACGAAAAACTAACGTGGATAGAGCATGTCTTCACCAAAAATAGCTGCAGCCAAGAAGAACTTGAAGTTACTATGTAGAATACTAGGTCCCACATGGGGTCTGACCCCACAAACAATGAAATGAATTTATGAAGCGATCATAGTCCCAAGAATTACCTTCGGCAACATCGTATGGTGGCACACCTCGAACATGATAACAGCCACAACTAAATTAGATAACATACAGGGCACTGTCCTGAGAAGAACCTTCGGCTCATTTAAGACAACGCCAACAAGAGCCCTAGAGGCAATAACTAATAGTTCCTCCCTAGACATTAAAGTCAAAGAATTAGCAATGAAAACAGCCATGAGACTGCATGGCTGGGGTCATTGGGAAGATATAGGAACAGGCTACAGCCAAATTATACAACAGAATGGCAATGAAACCATAAAAGAAATGTACTTAATGCCGAAAGATAGATTAATTACAGAACACATCTTCAAGAAAAGATATGAAACAAAGATAGACAGCCGAGAAACATGGAACACCACCAAATTACACAATGAAAACGACATAGTTTGGTGCACTGACGGCTCTAGAAAAGACAACCTTTCTGGCGCAGGCTGGTACTGCGGGAAAGGAATGAATAGCGAAGGCTTCAAGCAACTTGGGAAATACGCGACAGTATACCAAGCTGAAGTAATAGCCATCTCAGAGTGCACGCAAGAAATGATCAACCTCGGTACAAATAACAGAAGAATAACCATATGCACCGACAGCCAAGCGGCTATCAAAGCATTAAATAAAGCTGAAATAACATCAAAAATTACCAAAAAATGCAAGACAAGATTGAACTCACTCGCCAGAAACAACAAAGTAAAAATCCAATGGTTACCGGGACATAATGGCATAATGGGCAACGAAAGAGCCGATAGTCTAGCCAACAAGGGTTCAGACGAACCTCCTATAGGCCCAGAACCAATTATCGCATTACCAGAAACAGCGTACACGTTAGAGTTCGAGAAACTAAGAAACACCATCAAGAAAAGAAAATGGGAAGAAACACAAGGGTGCGAGGAAGCCAAGACACTGCTCGGCACCGAAACCAACAACAACAAGAGAATTAGAAAGATACTCAACCTAAGTAAAGAAGACGCTAGAAATGTAGTATGTATACTGACAGGACACGCCCCCCTAAAAGCGCACCTAAACACAATGGGTAAATGCCCCGACAATATCTGCAACTAATGCGGAGAAGCACCCGAAAAAACAGCTCACATTCTATGTGAATGTCCAAGATTGATGATGAAGAGAAGTAGACACTTGGAACAATTTATCATCAACCCCGATGAAGTAAAACTATTAGAAACAAAAAAGATAGCAGCATTCCTCGCAGACGTGAATCCATGGAGATTAGGAAACGATAACGTAAAAAAATGAAAGGGGAAACATGGAGATCCAAAAGCTACCGGAAAAACGGGACTCCACGGCAAACACCCAATAACGGGAAACCTACGGAGTCCTGCCGAGGCAGAGGATCACAGAGGAGAGCGAGGCTGGGGCTCCCTTCTCCCCTTTCACACCAATTAAAACGTAACAGCAGGCTAAAAGAACCAAGCAAACTAAGCGGAGGAACGATGGGAAGAACCCAAGAAAGACCACCGATTGGCGTAAAGACCAACAGGTAGACCGAAGGGACCATCTCATCGTTCTAATCCAGAATAAGGAAATATCGAACAGAGTAAGACAGCACACGAACGTAAGGGGCAAGGGACGCACACTGTCAGACAATCTGACAGAAGGGAGAGCCCAAAATGCGATCGCTGACTGGCCACAAGGCCAAAAAGCAACAATCGCATGGGTCTCCTGAAGCAGCGTCCCCGTCAGATTCCGCCAACTCACCAGGACAAGGATGCTAAGTAAGAGTTATAACATGCCGGCAGAAATGCTGGATAGAAATATCGGCGTGGCCGCAGTAAGGCCACAGATCCCCTACTCCGCTGGGTGTAGAACAGAAGTATATAGTAAGAGAAAGAGTAGAGCACGAGACAGGCCAAGGTACCACACCAAGAGCCGAGAGCGGGAATATCCAGCACTTTACTCACCGTAGACCACCATACCTACGGCTGACGACGTCTGGGCCCCCCCCCCCCCCCTCGCGTCCTGATCAGACTCCTCAATACAGCAAATGATGTAAACAAGTAACAGAAAGTACGCAAGGCAGAGGAATGCGCTGACTGCGCCTCAGCGCATCTACCGTAACTGAATACAATAACCATCTCTTAGAAAAGGATCAGCACACTTCCTCACAAGATGGGAGAAATCCGGATCTAGGACGGGTGGTGACCGTCCGACCAAACTACACCATCGTAGCCAGGTGTGATTGTGGACACGGCCAAAGAGCCATTCGCCCGAGAGAACACCGGGGAGTGAACCGGTGCCCCCCCCCCCCGGCTTACAATGCGAAAACTATGCGAAACTAGGGCTGCGGGGTGCGTCTTAGAAGACTGAAGCACAAGGTTTAGAGAATTTCGGTTCAGCATAGAATTCTGATGTACTGAGCATATTTATTTTTATTTTATTTGTTTCCTCTGGGTTTTCTTATTTTCTTCGGTTCTTGCAAGTTTCGTATTTTATAAGAAATATTACACCTGATGTGAGTGCTATGAGCACGACAATTCCTATTGATGAAAAATGCATGATTTTAATGTTTCGTATAGATGTTTGATGTTTCGATAAGTCTGATGCTTGTTGTTCCAAATCTGCGAGTGTTAATGCATCTGGTAGTTCGTCCCAATGTACCAGGTTCGACTCCCTTTTTACTAAATTTGTTTCCAAAATTTCTAAATGTTGTGCTGTAATTTCTGGTAATGTAATGTAATTATCGCATATAGGTTGTAGGGTTTAGAAGGATGATATGTCATCTCCTCTAAAGTTCGGATGGTTTCTAGAGCTTGAAATTGGACTGAGTTTATTATTACTCGGCATCCTGGTGCTAGTTTGAAAATTCCACTGTTTGAAATATCTTTTATTTCCGGTTTCTTTTCTTGCGATAGATTTCTGCTTTGGCTGGTTTCGATAAAGAATAAATCCAAGTGACTGGAGCGTGAAACGCTTTCCAATACGGCTTAACGAGCAAGGTAAGTTTAATCTCACAAGAGGTCCAATCGGTAACTGCTGGATTTAAGAGTGCGGTAGATTCGCAAATCAAGTGATGGTTGGCTTCATAGATTGGTAATGTGGCAGGTGCCCAGAATTCGTCGTGGAAGTGAGAATCCTTCAAATATTCCTCTGTTGGAATGAAGTACTGTTGGTCATCTAGTGAAACTGCGATGTACGGAATTTGAGGTTTTATGTAAGTCATTATTTCTTTTGTTCGTAAGTTTTGTATCGATGGGCATGGGTATACCTGATATAACTTAAATATTTTGTGTCCCAGTAGTGGTATGGTAAGTTCGAAAAGAATCCTCCCCTTTGTAAAAATTACATTCTGAGTCGTGATCTTTTCGATTTGTTCGGTGAGGAGTTCTTCCGATGTCAGGGGAAATTCATATGACGAACTTTGTTTAATTTTTTGTGCTGACTTCAATAGCTTTTCTGGTGAAAGAACCGCGGGGTGCAGAATACCTTGTTTTGCGAGGAGTATTGCATCTATTAGTAGGAGTAAGTTGGAACTGTAATCGTCTATGCCTCTTTCGAGCTCAAATATTGAATCTCTTATAGATGCCTCGAATTGTAATTTGCTGATGTCTGATCGTGTTTCCTTTAGAATATATGACTGTTCTGAAGTTGTTTTTAATAATTGAGTTACATCTTTTGTGAGATTAGTCAATCTGGTGTGTACGAGAGCAAATTATCCTCTGATGATGTGTGTTTGTTTGAATACTATTTCTGCCATTTCTCGTTGGCCTTTATATATTTTATTTAATTCCTGATTGTAGTTTTCTGCATCCTCCTCGGATAGAATTCCGAATAGGGTTTTGCTAACCGTACCAATGAATCCAAACGGTGCGCTGCGTTGTAGTGGTTTTGGTTTGGGAAGTGGCGTTTCACCGATTGCAATTCGTATTAAATTACTGCATTGTAATGTGTTTCCCATTTTCTTCGTTAGACGGAGCCCTATTTCCTTAATGAGGCAATTCACTGTTTCGTGGCGGTCGCAGAGTTGATTCATCGCAGAAATGAGTTCCTTTACAGGCAGTGCGTAAATGAGGTATTTTTTGACATCTTGGGATGTTACCAGTCGCCATTGTGAGTGATAAAGTCTGATGTCGGATAGTTTCTCATAGAAAAGTCCAGTATGCAGGGACGATATGCACGTCCCTGCATATCGATCCCTGCATAAGGTAAAGTATGAGCAAGTTTTAATTTGTCCTGATGTTTAGTTATTATTTTGTTTTGTGTTTGCAATACCACATTGTTTAAGTCTGTCACGTCTATTATTTTATATGGTCCAACATAGTGTGGGTCAAATTTATGAGTACGTGGTTCTTTGAGTGCATAAACGTAGTCGCCTACGTTAAATGTCATGGGTCTTGAATGTCTGTCGTAATAATCCTTTGAGCGAATTTTTGCTTTATTCAAATTATTTCAAGCTATATTGCGGATTTGAGACATGTGAGTTATTAATTCTGTTAGGTAATCGCCATATGATTTTAAATTATCGCCTGATGGGAATGAGCTAGGTTCCCGAGCTAGTTTTCCAAAAATTAGCTCGTATGGAGTGAAATTTGTTGCTTCATGGGCGGAGGTATTGTATGAAAACATTGCGAATGGAATTAACAGATCCCAATCTTCGTAATTATCCATATAGTGTTTGAGGTATTCTGTGAGCACTATGTGACTGCGTTCTAAAGATCCATTGGTTTGAGGTCTGTATCTAGAAGTTGTAATTTGTTTAATTTTGAATATTTCAGCCAGATTTGTCATTAAGTTGCCGATGAAACTGGTTCTCTTATCTGTTAATATTGCACGAGGTGTCCCGTATATTGTGATAAAATGTCTCGCGAAAGCGTCTGCTATGGTGGTAGCTCGAATATTTGGTATTGCTACAGCTAAACAATATTTTGTTAAATTATTCTGCATGGTAAGAATATATCTATTGCCACTGGGTGTAATCGGTAAAGGTCCAACTGTATCTAAACAGATTTTATCAAATGGTTGCAATGGTGTATCGCTAATTAGCATCGGTTGGCGAGTCTTCCCACGTACTAATTTCTGTTCTTGACAGCTTTGGCAAGTTTTGATGTAATCTTGGATTTCATTACGCATGTTAGGCTAATGAAATTTTGAACGGATGCGTTTGTAAGTCTTCGTGACTCCTTTGTGTCCTCCGATTAAACTGTCATGAGCTTCACGAATTATATTAATTTTATCTTCTGTGGATGGTGTGGTGATGAGGCATTGGCACAAGGTTATTTGATGATCTGTTTATGAGAAGATTTCTTTCAATGTTTTGTGGAATTCGTTGGGTGATAAATTATGAAAATCTTCTGTTGCTGATATTCGGAATGATGATTTGATATGGTTTTGTTCGAGGATAGGTATAAGACTTTTTAGTCCGTCTACCACATTACCTTTATTAATTTTATCATGAAAATGATCGGAAATTACTATGCTGAATGTTTTATATCGTTCATTATTTGACGTTATTACTTGACCTTTCCTGGGTTGTTTTAATAGAAGATTCTGTTTTTCTATTCCTTCCATATCCAGAAGTAATTTTCCTACGGAAGTGACTCGATTGCAATCAGCAGGTGTAAAGTGTACATAGTGTCCTTCTTCTGCGGTAATAGAATTTGAGGAAATAATTATTTTATGTGTTGGTTTCAATGGAACATACTCCTGTTCATCTGTAGAGTCTTTGATTTCGGGTACGAAGGGTAAATAAGGGTCCATTGTGCGGTCAAAGGAGTCAGGTGGAACTGACCTGTGCTCGGATCGTTGTCCTCTTTCCGTATCGCTTTCCGCTTCTTCAGGTAGTTGAGTTGCGGAGGGTTGTAAATTTATATTGGTGGTATGTGGCAATGCCTGTGGGGTGTCGGGTAAAATTTGCGGAAGATAGTCTTTCTTAATTATATTTTCAATTACGGTATTTTCTGACGGTTCTTTAAACGATATCAAATCATTATTTATGGTCTCATCATTTTCTTGAAGTGGAATCTGTGTTGAATTTGCTGCTGGTGTAAAGCTATTTATGGTTTCCGGGGATTCGTCTAACATCGTTACTTCTCGAGATAAGCTGGGCA